TATAGTATATATACTACTATAGTATAGTATTTTACTTCCTAATACCAAATAGTATTAAAGTATATTGTATATACACTACTATATACGATACTATATACTATAATACTATTAACTATTATTAAAAGATAAAATTGACCCTTTAATAAGTTAAAATTATATAATATTATCTTATATAATAAATATTATCTTATATATATTATATTATTATCTTATACACACAATATTATATAAATATTATCTAGTATATTATACATATACTATTTAAGGATAAATTTAATTATATTTATTATTATTTATATATATATATAATAGAAAATAATTTTGTTTTTTTTTTCTATACAAAAACTAAACGAGATTAATAAAAAGAAGAACAAAAAAAAAAATAGAAAATGTTTATATATGTAATGCAATAATAATAATATCGCGTTTATTTATAAATCAATGAATTTTCATTTACATTAATTCAAGGATAGTTAAGAGTGCACTGTTTACTTAAGAAAAGTAAAAAAGACAGTAAAAAAAAAAAAAAAAACGGAAAAAAAAGAAAAAAGAAACATTATTAATCGTTCATTTCCGTTATTAAATGATGACACATGATATAACAAATATTATACTCATTGTAACTAATTACATGCATTCATTTATTCACCGTTTCGTTGTCGTCACTACTTTTTTTTTTTTTTTTTTTGCTTCCGCATAAGAAAATGTGTATTATGTAAAGTAGTAACAGGAAGATTTTTTATTAATCATTGTCCCGATCACTAGATCATTTGTTTTAATGAATATTAAATTCAACAAACTCATATGTGTTGTGTTGGTGAATATTTATATTACGTAATTATTAATCAACAATATTGTGTTCTCAATCCTCTTTTATTTCCTTTTTTGTTTTTATTTATTCGTTTGTGGTTTTTTGTCCCGTCGTGTGTTATTATTTTATAATTTATTCATGTTTTCTTTCTTTTTATTAATTACGTTTGAATATAAGATAAAGATATGACAGATAATAAAATAACGAAGAAGATATTAATTAAAATAATATACGAGAAGAATGATCTTTATCTTACAATTAATTGTTTTTTTCTTTTTCTTTTTTTACATACTTGAATTTAATATCAATGACTTTTTTTCGTTGCTGTAACTCACAATCAGTCCGATACCACACGTCTTTAAGTCAACGAATTACCTTATACCGCCTTATTACGATTATACATTGAGATATAAACTATCCTATCTTTCAAGTTGGATGGAATTGCACACAGTGTGCAAAATTTTATTAAAATTAGTTCAGTAGTTTAGGAGTCCATTGCGGACAAACAACGTGACACGTAATTTATATATATTTAGAAGATAAAATAAAATGTTATTATTATTATAATATACAATATATATAAATATTAACATAAATATAATTATATTAATACATAATATATATTATTATTATTATTATTATAATTAATATATATATAAAATTGTAGCGAAACGAATAAAAAAAGAAAAGAAAAAACAAGTATAGTTTTGTACATATATAGGGAATAATTAATTTCATTTAATTAAGCTAATTAAAATGTATTTCGTCGAATAAACAATTTAGGGAAAAAAATAAAAAACTAAAGATATATATATATATATATATATAAAAAGAATGAGAGAGAAAGAGAGACAAATATCTAGGCATATAATATAACAATTGGTATATATCTTTGACATTTGATATGATTTTAATTGGTACGTATTTTTTCTTCGAATTAAATTTCACTTTTAATTTAATTAAATTAATGAAATATTTTTCTTTTTTTTTTTTGTATTTTTTTTTTTTTTTATATCTCCAATTAAAAGTCAAAAGAAAAGAGTAATATATATGTTTTGTTTTAACGTTGATGAATGATTATATTTCTTGTTAATTAGAAAAGTGTTGTAAACAGGTGTCAAAGAACATACGTGATCATAATAATTATTTCGACTTTGTTTTGTAATCTTGTAAAGTTTATTATCGTAGACTTTTATGTTCATATTTCTGTTCTTTTTTTTTTTTTTTTTACTTTTATCTATCTACAATTAATAATTCGAATAGGTGACTCTTGGCAGCAATGCTCGATAAATTTTAATTTTTGTAAACATTAATTTTTGTTCAATGCACATCGTAAAAACAAATGATAAAAAAAGTGTTCTTCAGTTTTAAAATACTTTAAAATGATAAATATTATTTATTGTTAAATATTTGAACTTTAGTATTATTATAATTAAAATTTATTAACGAAAGTATGATTGTGAAAAAGATTGGACTACACGTGTTTTCGTTTGTCTTTATTTTTTTTCGTTACATAATTTTGCAGTTGAAATAAACAATCATTTATTTAAACAATACTAACTTGTTACATTGACATAAATCATTGTCAAAATTGTTAAATTTTCAAGATATGACATTGCACATTAAAAAACAAAAAACACAACCACAGACATCTGTGTTTAACGTGTATTTTCGTAATCGTTTCATTCTAATGGCACAATATATATAATTATAATGAATATAAATTTTCCTAATAATAATAATAATAATAATAATAATAAAAATAATAATAATGATATATAACGCTGTTAAAAGATCAACATTTTTATGGCTAATAAATTATATGAATAATAAACGACACGACACGACACGACACAATGTATTCGAATTACATAGATAATTTCTTGCACGATTTCTAAACTTATTTTTATTTATTTATTTATTTTTTTTTTTTTTTTCTTTTTAAATCAATCCGAACGTTTTGTCAAACTCAAATGTTTATACTGTTATTATATTTTCTGTATCTACTTTTTTTAATTGC